AGACAGTTGGTTTAATTACTATTGGAAAATGCTTGTCATTCCTCTGTAGCATCTGGTCCCCACTGGACCCTCATCATTTCCTTCACCTGCTCCCCACACCGACCAAACTGTGCAGCTCTGCAACTGCAACCTGGCCCATCCTCACCCTTCTGCCCCCAACCCTCACCTCCTTGTACCCCCAATATGTTTTTCCCAATAAATAAAAATATAAAAAAAGAAGCCAGAAAAAAAATACTTTAGGCCTTAGCAGATCACTGTTCCAACTCAGATGTGCTTCTGAAACATTAAAAGAGCCATTGAGTATGAAAGTAAATGGGTGTGATTGAATTTTAACAAAATTTTATTTACAAGAACAGCTGGCATGTCCCATTTAGGCTATGGGCTGCAGTTTGCTGAACCCAGATTGGTATCTACTAATGAAACTAAGCCATAATATGTCTTCAGAAAAATTCTCATCTTCATGGCATTAAAAAAACACACCCCCAAACAACACAGATTATAAGAAGTGGAAACAAAGGAAAACCTATATTAATTAGTAAGCTTATGGAAATAAAAAAGATTATAAGAATATACTCAAATGACTTTATTTAAACTAATTAGAAAGCCAGAAATTACCAGAGTCAGGAAGAAACAGAAACCAAGAGGTCTAGAACAAGAAATCAAATTGGTTATTTAAAAACATTATGTAAGAAAAGTCCAGAAACGGAGGGCTTCACAAGTGAATTCTATCACAAACTGGGAGGTTCAGGAGAGGTAAACGCAATCTTTCAGAAACTCTTCCAAATAACAGCAGAGAAAGGAATATTTCCCAACTAATTGTATGAAGTTAGTATTGCCATGCTTTGAAAGACACAGATTATTTTAAGAACAAACCAATATTCCTCATGAACATATATTCTAAAATATACCACAAAGTATTAACAAATCAAATCCAACAACTTATTAAAAAAATACTAAGAGGAAGTAAGATTTTCCTTGTAAGATTTATTTAACATTTGAAAGTCAAGAAATGCAATCCTTCACATTAATAGTTTAAAGCTGAAAAATGCATGATCATTTCACAATACAGGAAAAACATTTGAGAAAATCTACACCTATTCAGAATTAAAAGCAAACCCACCAAAAACAAGACTAGATGAGAACTTTTGTCCAATAAAGGACAGCTACAAAATTCTACAGCTAAGAGGGTCATATAAGTTAGAACCAAACAGACGACACAGCATCTAACAAGCATCACACTCACTGGTGAAAGACGATGTGTTTTCCTTCTCCAAGAGGCAGAAACAAGATAGCAGTGTGCTATCTGCATTTCTATACACCACTGGACTGAAGGTTCTAACCAATGGAGTCAGCCAAGAAGCACAAAGCATTCAAATGCAAAACAACATCACTGGTATTATTTTCATGACAGGATCCCAGAATGAAGGCTGTACAGTGGAGTGGACTTGGAGGGAGGGAACTGTATAACAATGAAATAATTTTTCTTTTACTTTTCAAAGAGAAGCATGAATTGAGAGGGAGGGGTGGGCAAGGAGAAAAGTGCAACAATGAATGAATGGAAATTAAAACAAAACAACAACAAAACCCAAACCAAAAAACCCCTACATCATTGATGTTACACTTGTAAAGGCCCAAAAGTTTAAGAAATCCAGTTGGGGGGGGAAAAATAGTTCAGCATTCTCACAGGATCTAAGATAAATGTACAAAAATCAACCATAACAGCAACAACTAATCAGAAAATAAAAATTAAAAAAAACCCCATTCATATGTTATGATGTAAATTATCAAGTGATACTCTTCACCAGAGCTCCCTATTGGTGAACATGTACAAAATTCCTTCCTGTATTTAAGATTTCCATCTAGATTTTTGAGACTGTCTATATGTTTCTATGGTGACAGGATCAGCGATGCAAGTAGTTATATCAAGTGATTCAGAGAACAATGTGTTATACATGTGACCAAAAGTATAAAAAATACTGGGCTTTACTAGTTAACAGTTTGTGTGAATTTTCAAGAACTATGAAGGTCACTCACCTGCACAGCATGGTTCAAATCTGACATAAGACACTGGCGAAGCCTCTCATCATTCCCAATTCCTTGAAGAACAAAGTCAGGCACATAAGATGAACAATAGCCACCCAGCAAGGACCTCCCAAAGTTGGCAATATTGGGTTGAAGAGAACTCACTTCAATTAACTTTGACCTGAAAGAAAGGTACCCCCCAAAAGGATATTTAATTAGTAATAAGCACATTTTACTAATGAAAAATTTCTGAACTGTACTAACTCTAAATAACTCTACTAACTCTAGTCCATAAGGAGCACTGGTAGCATAGTGCTTAACATATCAGGCTGCTAACCAAAGGGTCAGCAGTTTGAATCCACTAGCACTCCATATAGGAAGATGCTCTCATATATATTTATCAATTTGGATGGAGGGTCACTACAAGCAGATTACAAACCAGGGGCTTGTTTGGTTTTATTATTTCAGTGTAGGCCACATTTCTAGTACCAGCATGTTTCTCAAATACTTTGAATAAAACTTGGCTTAAGTGTTTAATCAAATTATAAAAATAATCCTATCCAGAGAAGAAAGACTCTTGAAATGAACATAGATCTTTCATGGGAGACGTATGGAGATGTGTTTCTTGTTTAGTACATATATCTAAGAGTCTCAGGCATGAAAATCACCATCCAAAACAGGGCATTTAAAAAATTCTTCACAAATCCAGTTTAGTTAGTACATTTCACAAGGAGGCATGTTCTTCTTGTATATTTGACTCAGAATATACATTGTTTGAATTCCTTAGTCTTGGCCAAATCTCTTTCCAATAGCTGTTTCTCTGCGTCCTCAGTGATCACCTGGCTAGCCAGTTGCCAGGCTCAGCACGGACCGTTTGGACATAACTCATTCTTAAATGACTTATAAGCTATTAAGCACTAATAGATCGCCTACAATATTTGCCAGGTTCTTTAACTTGTCTTTACTGACTTCCACAAAGCCTTTCTGAGGTGTTGGAAAGGTTTAGCCATTAGGCCTTCCTACGAGTGAGAACTTGTGGCAACAAAGGAAATAATGTCAATGATCACTTTTTTTTACATTAAATCAAGCTCACTGCCTTTGAGTCTAATCTGATTCATGACGACCCTCCTTCAGGTTTCACACATTCTAAATCTCTACAGAAGACTAGTCATCTTAGGGGAGCTCTGGTGGTCTAGTGGTAAAAAACTGCACTGCAATTCCCAAACACATGATTTGAATCTACCAGTTGTTCCACAGGAAAAAGATGGGCATGTGATTAACTGCCTCTGAAAACCCACTGGAGGGCCAGTTATCGGTCAATTCCGACTCGATGGTATACAAGTGCAACAAGTCATCTTAGGGAGCTCTGGTGGCCTAGTGGTAAGCAGCTGCGTTACTAACTCAAAGGCACGCAGTCTGAATCCACCAGCTGCTCTGCAGAGAAAGATAGGCAGTCTTTTCCCATGTGGTTTACTGCCTCTGAAAACCCACTGGAAGGTCAGCTGTGAGTTGATTCTGACTCAACAGCACACAACAACAACAATCTTCTTTCTAATCTAGTGATCAGTGTGTTCAAACTCCCGACCTTTCAGTTAGCAGTCCCACACATAACCCACTACCATAGCCTTCAGGGACTCATTAGAGAAAGGAATGGTATGTTTGTAGAGACTTGTTATCAGTGAATTACTTCCTGGGTGGTACAAATGGTTTACTCACTTGATGTAAATGAAAGCTGGAATTTCATGTCCAACTACAGACACCTCATGAAAAAGGTTTGTTGTACTTAAGGAAAATCAGGCACTGAAACGCTATGAAGCACAAGCATATTTTGACACATAGGAAAATCACCATGAATCAGAATTGACTAAAAAGCAACTGGTTAAATGAATACAGTCTCCCTTCTCTCCACCAAAAGAATTCATAGCCTTTGCGTGGATTTAAACTTAAAGTTGTCCCTTAGGGTTTTCAGGCCATATGCCTTTACTGATAGACTTTTTTTTTTCTTCCAAAGAAGCAATTGGTAGATTTGAACCACTCCTTTTTTGGTTATCAAAAGCATTTAACCACTGTGCCACCAAAGCTTCTTGACTATTGGTTATTTTATGTGAAACTTTACTACTTACCCAGGAAAAGGTATCTCATCCTCTTCTGTCCAATCTTCATGCTCTCCCCCATAATAATTGCTGGCTTGTCTGGTTATATCATGGCCTGTGTCTTCACTTTCACTATCACCAAGGGCACTATCTGAACTTTCATTTCTTGGAATGTCCCAGTCATTTCCTACAGCATTTTTTTTCTCTGCACTCTCTTTATCCCCATGGGGGACAAGAATGGAGAGCATAGGTCTTTGGTCCTGCTGAGGAAAGCAGGTTTTACATGCATCCTGGTGAACTCCACTTACACATTCATAAAATTCATTATTTTGTTTGCCATTTTTTGTACACAATTGTTTTGAAAATTCCAACATACAACAGTGTTCTTTACTGCCTGTGCTTGTTTTAACTGGAATATCATCAATAGTCCTTGTTTCAATGGAATCATCATTAAAATATTCATCAAATAAACTTATACTTTCTGGATCCGAATGATTCCAACAAGGCAGTGCACAGGCCTCTCCAGAAACTCTATTTTGTATACTAGATTCTCCAGATTGGTCCTGAGTTATTTGTTTAGTTTCTTGATGCATATCAGTAGCTGCTGCTTCTTCCTTCAGCAGTCTGGTATGATACCTGGAGATCTGATCCATCACTGCCTGACTCCGGAGTTCAGTATCCGAATCAGGAGACATGGAATCCCCAATCAGGAAGGTAACCTTTGTCTGGCTTGCGTCACAAGAAAATGCAGCTGGCACAAGCTTATCTGGAGGTTTTTTTTCCACAGTCAGTCCTGCGGATCTCATCAATTTGCCTGTGTGGTTATCTGAATCCAGTAATTCCTCATGTTGCCATGTTTTCTCTGCTGGTTCTAAGCCTGATTCTGACAATGCACATTTGTCTACCAAAGCAGGAGTAGAACCTGTGCAAACAATGGTTTCTAACTTGGTATCAAGACAAGTTCTTAATTTATCTCTGTACTGTTTAAAATCAAAAGCATTTTCTTCATGGCAGTCAGAAGGAGAAATCTTCCGGCCCTCATTTGACATTTCCAGCAATTTGTTAGAGCTATTTTGAGTATCTTCCCTCTCTTGTTGTGAACCATTTTCTGTATTTTGCCCAAGGAGTGGACGACTGCAATATTTACAGTTACAATTAGGAGTTCTTATTTCTTCTGGCTCTTTAAAGAGCAAACTGCTTTTGTTTTTATGCATTGTGATAAGCACATATTCAGATTCTTCTATTTCACCTTTCTCTAAAGTGGTAGTTATTACTGTGCCTGGCATAACAATGGCTTCATCTTCTCCATTTTCTAAAAGATGGGTTTCTTGAAGTTCAGAGCATCTTATGAAATAAGTAAGAAAATAAAGAAGCCTCTGGACCATGTCTTGTCTTTTGCCAACTACCACAGTTCTTGCTAATCGAACAGGTGATCCAATGGCACCATACAAGTCTCCTGCAATGGGAAAAATTAGTTAATGGAAACACTCTCTACACATACTGCAAAATAGGCCCTTTTTAATTAACAGAAACCTACTCTTATTATATGGAGTAGTTCACATTTTATTCTTAGTTTTTTTAATAGGTGAGTCACTGTTCAGGGAAGTAGGCTGAGATGAACCATCTTAACTAGGGAAAACGAGAAGTTTTCCAGCTGCCTCCTGAAGCAGTTGATAGGATTCTAAAATCTCAAGCAAAGAGTATGCAAAGTTGCACTGAAGACTGGAGAATGTTCTTGTTACTTTTATCTGCGTGAAGATACACTGCCAGGAATACTATGTACAGAAGGATTCTATAGCTATGCCAAATACAGAGAAGGACAAAACATACCACCTGTCTACGTGTGGATGTGATGTCAGAGGGAGAAGTGGTGGAACGGAGCAGGGCTCTAGTGGTCAGGCCACACATGTAACTCTGTGTTACATCACATCCTAAACCATAACTGTCAAAGTCCTACCCAGGACTTTCTTTCTACTCCATAAAGGCTGAATATTCAAATAGGTTATAGACAGAATAGGCGAATTAAGACTCACCCCAATTAAGAGGAAGAGGAAACATAGTAGCTTTGTGATTCATTTACCATTTTTGTATCTACTATAGACATAATAGCCATTGAATTAAAAAAAACAAAATTAAGAGCCTGGGAATTATCAATGACATTTCTGTATCTATGTTGTAGCTCAAATTAAACCAATAAAGAAACAGATATTTTTTAAAAAAAGACTTTAAAATATAGGATATAAAGCAATTAATGTAAATATAATTTTATTTCTGAAACTATTATTCCACATTCCAAAACTTCCATTAATACTTTTATAACTTCTGGGTTATTGTTTTGCTTTTTACATCAAAGAAACTCCATGCTTTTTTTTTTTTTAAACTGGTTTGCTTACAAAGTTTATGTACACATTGTTTCATACAATCATTCTCATACATTATGTTTTATAAAGTTAATCATTGGACTTTGCCCCTCTTTACCCTGTCTTTTCGCCCAGATCCTTGCCATTTCCTTTCCCTCCTCCTTCCACCCACCAAACTGTGCAACCCTGTGGTTTCGCCGCTACCCCTCTTTGTTTTTACAGGTGAAGAAAAAAGATTCTTGAAAGATTTAAAATAAATATATACCATGTTATTATTAGGGAGGGAGATCTGGTGGCTGGTACACAGCTTGTTATTTTTGCATGAGTTAGAACCAACTCATAGCTGACAACTGAGTTTTCAGAGACAGTAAATCACACAGAAGGAGACTGCCCATATTTCACCCATAGAACACTAGCAGACTTAAATCACATACTTCTGGACTGGTAGTGCAACTTCCTACCAATAAGCCACCAAACTCCCGATACATGTTATTGGCATGTGCTTTGGGATCAACTTTCTCTTCTTAAGACAATGGTTCTAACACCATCTTGCCACTCTTTAAAAACACTCCCAAGGCTCCTACTAGTCAATCAAATACAATAAAATTCTTTTAAATGGCAGGTTCATCTTTCCTGACTGGTTTCATTTTACTTTTTCAGTTTTACCTTCTTATAGGTAAAACTTCTTATCTTTTACCTTCTTTTTCCATGTTTAGTCACACAAAGTCCCACATAAACAAGAGGGCTAAAACTCAGCTACTATTTGTCCTGAATTTTAATACCTATATCCCTTGACACATGCTAGGTAACCTTCCCTCCCTCGCTATTATCATCAGCTGCAATCTTTAACTTTCTTCCCACTCAAGCAGCCTCCCTTGAACAAAAGTGAGCTCTACTGACTCACACCTAGATTTTCATGTCCCCTGTAAATGTGTGGTGTGTGTGTGTGAATATCCACATCTTGTAGTACTTGTCTGATATGAATGTGTTGTCAAGAAGACTATGACTCATTAAACTTGAGGATAAGTATTCAGTATCATCTATTAATCCTTCATTATTCTTCCCACAAAGCCTTAGACATATTAGGTGTTCAATAAATGTTTCAGAGTGGAAAAGAGTTTTAAAATGTCATATTTAAAACAAAAATATTACCAGATCACCAGTATTTTATGTACTGTTGAGTCAGAACCGACTCATAGCTGACCCTCCAGTGGGTTTTCAGAGGCAGTAAATCACACGAAAGGTTTACCTATCTTTCTCCCATAGAGCAGCTGGTGGATATGAACTGTATGCCTTTGGTTTGACAGCATAACTCCTTATTACTAAGCCACCTAAGCTCCCTAGATTTCATAATATTAGTTAATACCTATACAATGGAAGACTATTTAGAATAAAAACAAGGAACTTATACATCCTGTTGCCTGTTCATACTAGTTTAAAAATAACTTTAGAAACAAGTATAAACACCAGCCCACATAATATGTATAAGTGAATCTTAAAATAATTGTATTGAATAATGAAACCAGATTCTCCCAGATGGAAAATGTATGTACTTTATGTTTCTATTCATATAAAAACCTAGAAAACACAAATGAATCTTTAGTGATAAAAAGCAGACCATGGTTACTTGAGGATGGCAGAAGTGGGGACAGAAACAGTGTGGAGAATCAGGAGGGACAGATTATAAGGAAGAAAGAAAAATTTTCAAAATGGTAGATTTACTCATCATCTGGACTGTGGTAATGAACTCAGATGGAGCATAAATGCAGGTTAAAACTAATAAAACGTTACTTTAAATGCAATTATCAATTAGAAGCTGTGTTGCAATCACAAAGGCACTCAGATCAAACCCATCAGTTGCTCTGCAGGAGAAGGATGGGCAATGTCCTCCTCCATGATTTACTGCCTCTGAAAACCTGCTTTATGGTAAGCTATGAGACAGTTCTGACTGGATGGCACAACTACAACATACCTCAAAAAGTTTAAAGGGAAAATAGGAGGAAAGAGGAGAAGAAGGCGAAGTCCTGGTATGTAAGAGGGAGAAAGAAAGGAAAGAAGTAAAAAAGGGAGGAGGTGCTGGTTTGGCAACATGAATTGCTGAAGCACAAGTCAGTTCACCTGCCAAGTTTACTCACCACAGCAAAGTAAGAAATTTCTATCAGGTCACCAAAAGCTCTCAATTTGACTGTCCCAGTATTTCTACAGCAGCTATATTTACTAGACACTGACTAGTCATGTATTATGGTATTTAATTTTTACAACTTCACGTAGTATTTAAAATTTAATCTTATTCCTACTTTATAACTAAGAAACTGGAATTCTATAACTTGTACTCTTAAGTAACCCTCTAAGAGAGTCCCCAACACCAAAAACTCAAACTCGCTGCCTGAAGAGACAATTCACTTTCATAACAATCTTTCAGTGAGGATTCTGAAGCTGTGAATCTCTCTCTCTGAGGTCCTGCTAACCAGCCTGTCAGCCTGACACATGATGTACTGTGCCACTCAAATGACAGCAAGTTCTTCAACCATCATCTTTCATGTCTCCCTTCTATTAATTTCACTTTCTTATTTATAAAAGAAAAGTTTTTAAAGAGATACATTTGGGAGCTCTGTTGGCCTAGTGACAAGAAGCTGCACTGCAATCCCAGAGGCCCGTGGTTCAAATCCACCAGATACTCTGCTGGAGAAGGAGGGACAATCTCCTCCTGTACTAGTCAGATCCAATTTGACAGTACACACACACAAAAATAATAAGATTTTTAAAAAAGATACATTTCCTGAATTGACTGAAAAAACAAAAAAAGTGATACATAGTTTCAAAGTAAAATTAACTATATTTATTGTGGCTGTCTGCCCATTCATTATCTCTAGGTAAAGTATCTAACATAGTATACAAAACCACAAAATATTCTGAAGAGTCTAATAACTAGAAAACCAGCCATCAGTCTTGTACATCTTGCTCCAGCTCCATGTTCTATGGGTAAGTAATCAATAAAGTTGTTTTTATTACTGTTGAGTACCATCTAGTCAGAACCAACCCACAGTTGACCCTCCAGCAGGTTTTCAAAGGCAATCAATCGTTTGGGAGCAAACTGCCCACCCTTCTCCCATGAACAGATTTGAACCACGTGCCTTTAAGATTCCGAAAAAGCTTCTTACCAGTAGGTCACCAGAGCTCCCTGGTGTCACATTAAGAAATAAAATGGATATAGGATAATTGACAAGACATGAATGGACAAGTAAAGAAGAGAGAGCAAGAGTCCAGAATTAAGGTTCATAGGGGCGTGTACTCTGGATGGGGGTGAGGGCGGGGTAGGGGGATTGTATACCAATGAAGGAATTTTTCTTTTACTTTTCAAAGAGCGGAGCGAACTGGGGAGGGGGGGGGGGTTTGGCAGGGAGAAAAGTGCAACAATGAATGAACTGAAATCCAAAATCTCTGTAAATGTTCATAAAAATTAATAAAATATTTTTTTAAAAAAAGAGAAGCTTTAGAATGGAGGGGTAAAAGAAAATATTTTCTATTTTTGCTTTTATTTTGCTATAATTACAGGATATCACACAATCATGTTAGTATCACATAATCGTAAACCTTGCACTGTGCAAGGTTTCACATTACATACCTAGTTGTGCCCAAAGTGGGTTATATGGATGAGTCTTTGCCAACATGTCCACACTCTGAGAGGAATGTTTTTCTAGAAATATTTTTATAGGTGGCTGTCCATTTGGCATGACTGTTGGCACCCAGGCAAGATGATTGGTCAGAACTGCGGTAATGAGAGCAGGCAAGAATCTGAAAATAAAACACACCATATCAGATTTCAACTTGCCTTCGTGAAGGGTTAGGTAAAATGCAATGATAAAGTAAAACAAAAAGAGTATATATTATCACATGGCTAGAAGCATAAAAAAGGAAAACGGGAAGGAAAAATAGATATATTAGTAAGATAAAAACAAAAGTAAATTTTTTGTTTGAGAATGAGTTGCCATTGTTGCTGAGAGTTATAAAACACAAATGCCATTATACTGGAAAAACAACAAATATTTAGTGTTTAATCTGTACCATTCACTATCAATCAACCACCCAGCTCATGTATTTCCAAATTACTAATTAGGAAAAAGAAGCTAACTACTAAGCAAACTCTTTCCACCATCAAAGAGAATAAAAATATCTAAAACATTAATCTAAAGTCCAGGAAGTTGATGAGTGGTAAGAAGAAAATATGACAAAATAACACCTTAAAAATTAATTAACAGGGGAGCTCTGGTGGCCTAGTGGCAAGAAGCTGCACTGCAATCCCAGAGGTACACGGTTTGAATCCACCAGATGCCCTACTGGAGAAGGAGGGACAATCTCCTCCTGTACCAGTCAGATCTGATTTCACGGTACACACACAAAAATAATAAAATAAAACAACAACAACAACAAAAATTACTGGACAATTTGTCATTCTCCAGAGAAGTAAACATGACTACAGTTATAAAGCCAATCATTAGCTCCTCCCTACATAACCTGGCACTCATGCTGTTGTTAGATACTGTCTAGTCAAGTATGACACAGAGCAACCTATGAATAACAGATCTGAACCCTGCTATCCTGTGCCATCCTCATAATCTGTCAGACTTGAGCCCAATGCTGCAGTCACTGTCAATCCATCTTATTGACGGTGTTCCCCTCTTTCATCAACCTTCTGCCTTTCCAAGCATGATGCCAAGCAAAACACTCAAAGTATGTGAGACAAAGCTTTGCAATTTTTGCATCAAGGAGCACTCTGACTGCACTTGCTCCAAGACATATGTTTGTTCTTTTGGTAGTCCATGGGATACTCACTACCCTCTAGCCTTTCCCAAAGTCCCTCTGTAGGTTAATTCCTTCATTTATTATGAGGAAAACCATTGGTTTTATTAATAAAATATTAATTTATATAAAAAGGAATAAAACTGTATACTTATTTGGAAATAGTTCTCAATTTAGACTTCTAGCTAATTCCATTTCTACTGATTTTTATCTGTTTTTGTGTGTATTTTACAAACTCAAGTAAATAAAAATGAGTAGGCAAATGTTCAGCCTTCAGGGTGAGCCATTTGGGCCCTCGGGGTGAGCTGTTTGGGTCCTTGGGGCGAGCTGGTCCAGCCCTCGGGGTTAGCCAGCCCTCGGGGTGAGCTCCTCAGCCCTCAGGTGGTGCCATCCAACCCCTGCTTAGAAAAAACTGCCTAGGGTGTACAGAGAATATTATCTAGGCTACTTTCCTCCACCCTCTCCCCCAGTATACCCGTAAGTAATACCCCCAAAGCCCTTCTATTTTCACAAGTTTGTTCTCTCTAGGTTTGCTCCCTTTCCTATAGGTAATCTAACACTGAATTTTACTCCAGACCTGACCCTGAACCCAGTTCCAGGGACAAAAAGGAAATACAACTGCCAGTTAAGGAAGCAAAGGAGGATGGAGCCTCTGGGTTCAGTCAGCCATCCCCACTGGACCCACCTGGGAAAATACCTTGCAGTCCAGAGGGGAGTAAATGTCAGGAAAATATCTTCTAACAGAGCAAGAAAGTAAGCAGCTTTAACCCAAGACCACCAGTAAGTGCTCCCTTTCCCCCTTCACATCAATGCCCCTGTTTAGCATGAAGAAGCCAGAGAGTCCGCACCCAATTCCCAAATGAGAAACCCACAAATGAATAAGACAGTTTGTTTAATCACCATTTGGACTATGCTTACTATTGCCCTGTATCATCTGGTCCCCACTGGATCCTTTTCACTTCCTTCACCTGCTCCCCCCACCAACCAAATTGTGCATCCCTGCAACTGCATCCCTGCAATTTCATCCCTGCCAATCCTCACCCTTCTGCTCCCAACCCTCATCTCCTTGTATCCCCAACATGTTTTTCCCAATTAAAAAAAAATGAGTAAGCATAGGTAAAAGAAAAGAAGATGCTTGCAAATCATGGAACAAGCTGTCCATACCCCACCAACCCAAAGACAAAATCCCACCAACCCAAAGACAAAATGATATACAAAAACTTAACATATTGCACCTTTAGACATTAGAATGGTCATTTTTTTAGCTTTAGAGATCTGTTAAGTAAAAGTAACAAAAAATTAAAAATAAAGTAAGTCATACTGATTTTTTGCAGCATTTTCCATTAGAAAAGTGAACTCTTTCATAAAACGATGACAAAGCTGGTTCTTTCCTGGAGTTCCCGACATCATTGTAAGCCAGACAGGCTCTCCAATCCTTGGCATTGTGTAGAGATTACAAATTGCTGTTCTAAAAAATGGAAGACAGATTTGATTTGACGGTACACACAAAAGATAATAAAATAAGGGCATTATGATTATCATAAGAGTTCAGAATGAGTGTTGCAGAGTGGAGTATACTGGGGTGGGGGGGTAATTGTATACCAATGAAGGAGTTTTTCTTTTGCTTTCCAAAGAGAAGAGTGAACGGGGGGTGGAGGTGGTGTGGGTGGGGAGAAAAGTATAACAATGAATGAATAGAAATCCAAAATCTCTATAACTGTTCATGGAAATTAATTTTTAAAAAAAGATAATAAAGTTTTTTAAAAAAGGAAGACATATTATGAAATTCAAAGTTCCCATAATCACTCTTTCAATGCCAAGTAGAAACTTATATAAAGATAATAAAAACTTTTGAGAAAAGACATTACTTAGGCCATTCTTTCTTGGTAACGATAAAGCATCATAGGAAATATTACATACATGAATTTTGTATGTGTTGGTTCTGGTGAAAATTACAAAAAACTTTTGTCTTTGGTTTACATATTTTTCTAATTTAATCACCATTTTTTTTCTGCCCATGAAAGGATTTGTAAAGCCACTTCTGGTGCTGTATTTCTAAGGTACATTTCATACTTAGGTATTTTGTAAGTAATCAGCAGCACAGAGAAAATAAAACCATTTTAGATAAGGTAATACCTTGTCCATTGATCCACTCAACATTTTATCTGCATCATTTTACTGTCTATGTTGAGATGCTTTAGTAAAGTTCTGAAGGATGATGATGATTATTATACATGAGTACTACAAACTCTCTAAACTATAAATGTACAGAAATGATGGTAGTTATAGAACAAAGTTTAGGTCTTTTGTGCAAAACTTACTCAGTCATATTCAAATTGAGGATATTTAACCACTGATAAGTGAAACTTGTGCTGTTGTTATATCTGGAGGAATGTTCTTCCACTTTGTACATCACTCTTTGTCAAAGTGCAGTATGAAGTAACCTGGGTTGCTGTGATGCTGAACCTTGTACCATTGGGGTATCAAATACAAGAATGGTTTCCCAATGTGGAAAGTGGTTGGTGGAGCTCCCAGTGGTAAAACAGTTTTGGAAGCAGGAGTGGCATCCACTTTCTAAATCACATGCCTCTGGAAACTCTATGAACTTGATGAAATGACGACAGTTATGAAAAGGCATTAGGTCTTTTGTTCAAGAGTCACTATGAGCTGTGCCTTACTTGAAGGCAATCAACAACAAACAACAACAACAACTATTTTTTTGTAACTCTCAACATTCTAAAATTTCCCCTTGGACCAACACTAGGCAGAACTACTGTGCAATCACAGTGCTTTTCTGACTGTCTCTAAGACTTACTTAGACAAAAGCAGTTCAGTGACAGTCAGCCAGTCTACCAGCCAGCCAGCTACTCACTCACTCATGGATGTCAAGTCAGAAGTGACTCATAGCTGGACCCTCCAGTGGGCTTTTTAAGGCTATAAATCACACAAGTGGAAACTGAATCTTGAAACTGGTGAATATGAACTTCCAGAGGGTTAGCAACACAACTTCCTACCAACTAAACCACCAGTTCTGAAGCCTCAAAGCATACCTTTAAGATGGTTATTCTTTTCCTTTTAAATTAATATCCATTTAGTAAAGTGCTATATACTCACCACACTAAACAACTATTGAAAAGCATATGGGTTAAGAAACTAGTTAAGCTCTAGGAAACTTCAGAATGGTATCCTACTTTTTAAAGAGCTATACCATAGGTCTATCGGCAATGCTGGAAATATTTAATATTTGCACTGGTCAAGATGATAGCTAATGATCATATATGGTTATTAAGCCCTTGAAATATGAATATTAATAATGAAGACTTTAATTCTTACTTTTATTTCATTAATTTAAATAATTTGACTATTAGTTATTCTATTAGATAGTATTAGCTCTAAAAAGTTCTCTGAGATTTCTACACTTTAAAAACTCTCCCTCCTCAGCATAATTTATCACTTAGCATCCAGAAACAGAGAATTCCCATGCCTGTATAAACTTCACTGGATCTCAATCCAGGTTAGCAGTGCAAGTCTTTTACCACTTAGCCCCCAGAAAAAAAAAAAAAAAAAAAGGAAAAAAAATCATTTGAGTAAGTATTTCATCGGATATAAAATTATTGCTAAGTTAAAAATAAATAAATAAATACATGGAATTAAACTGGGAGTATATAAAAGGGCTTAGTTTTAAATCCTGTTAGGGAGTTCTAGATATAAGGAATAACTGAGCACAACTATTTATTCTCTCTTAGTTCTGGGGCCCAAATTTAATACCAGATAAGGACTTGAAAACAGATAAACTTCTATAATAAACAAAACTGAAGAAGTATCAGTGGAGAAAATGAAAATCAGAGACATTTATAAAACTCCGTTGTTGTTGTTGTGTGCCACCGAGTCAGAACCAAACTACAGTTAACCCTCTGTGGGGTTTTCAGAGGCAGTTAATTAATTACACAAGAGGAGACTGCCCATCCTTCTCCCACGGCATAGCTGGTGGATTTGAACTGTTAGCCTTTAGGATTACAGTGCAGCTTCTTACCACTAAGCCACCACAGCTCCCTATGAAACTCTAGAAGATAAAATATTTGGTGAGTGATAATTAAGGTAGCAGGTAATGAGGCAATACATAGGTCACAGAAAGGATACAAAGAAAGAGTTAATTTTCCCTGAAGTCAGAAGAAGCTCAAAACTGTAAATGCTTAGTAAAACAGAAAATGCAATACTAACTACTAAAAATACAAATACTAAAAACTAGGAGAGACTAAATTTAACCTCCATTAATTGTTGATTGGACCCAACCTACCTCCACCTTTCCCCCCAAAGAATGGCTACAGATGCCCACAGAATTAGTCTCTCTAACCCTTCTGATACTGGAATCCGTGCATGCACAGGTACGTAGTATGTCATATGACACTGCAATTTCATGAAGGGAGAGGAAAGTGATTAGAAAAAATGCCTAAAAACAATCCATTTAGAATAGTAATAAAAAATGTTAAGTAGAATAGTAATAAAAAATGTTAAGATGTTGTGTCCTAAAATGAAGGTTACCAGACAGAAGCCGAAATATAAGACAGAATTTGCAACCCACACTTTGGTGTCTTACTATAAAATTTTAAATAAAACAATACTGCACATTCTCAAGGAACAAAATAGATACTTTTTTTCACTCTGAAAACAAGTCTATTTAAAATTAAAAATGAATTTAATAAAAAAAATCACAGATTAGAAAAAAATACAAAAGTGCTATATTCAGGAAAAAAGAAATTAAAGTATCAGCACTTTATTTACTGTTTTGACGTGACTCTTGTAAGCCACTGTTACATTCGCCAGCAAGTGGAATGAGTAGCTTTATAATAATGCAAATCAAGTAAATGGAACCTTGCAGGCAGGAAGGACTAAGAAGTTTGATGCACAGAACACTGGAACAACAGCAATGTTACGACAGATGAAGAAAAGACGGAAACTATCAATGACTCCATCTTACGTGGATCCACGATCAATACACTTGGTACCAGCAGTCAGGAGATCAAGAGACATACCGCACTGGAAAAGTGTAGTCAGGGACTTCTCCAAATTATTGAGGAGAAATTATGTTAGCTTTCTAATTACCTGCTATGTTTAGTGAGGACAATGAATAAGAACGACAGAAAGACTGATGTCTTTCACCTGTGGTGTTGGAGTACTGAGCGTCCCAGATTTACTATTTCTGAAAACGCTCTGGAGGGTCAGCTATGGATCAGCTCCAACTCAGCACACAGCCACGACCACTACATGGCCAACTGTCTGTCTGTGTCCCGTACTGTCATGGTTTGTGTGCTCCTATAAAAGTGTTAAGTAATGTCATCGGTATTTAAGTTCCAGCAAGCTATACTCAAGATGGATAGGTCAGTAGAACTTCTACACTAAGACAGAATAGAATGTAAGACCTAGTAATCTGTCTGCTAGGAAGAAAAACCTGTAGTCTACTGCTGAAAATAAGCCAATGAACACTTTAGGAATTACCCAGAAAACACTATCTGACATGGTGATGTACAATGAATCCTCACACTGCAAGGTATTTAAAATATGAGTAGAAAAGAGCTGTTTCCTTAGTGTAGAATCAACCTTACTTATTCATAAAACAACAAAATTAACAACTACATGCATGGAGCTCACTAGATGCATTTGCACAGGAATCAACTTAACTACTTCTGCTGAAGGAGAAAATGACAATCAAGTTCACTTTCATGTTAGAGCCAACTGCAACAGGTACTAAATGATCAATGAAAGTTCAAGCTGAAGCCGAAGAAAATCAAAGCAAATTCATGAGAGTCAAAATACAACATAAAATGTGGTCTTAAAGAACTTAGGGGTCATCACAAGAACAGCTCTGATACAAATGAACACCTCTCCAAGAACTCGTCCCTCCTGGTCATGTGCCCAAAGAATGTGAGAAGGAGCTTCAGAATTCTTGCCTCTAAGGAGCAGCCTGATTTCACACTTTCTAGGATAAACCTGTTTGTTCCCCTAGCAGTCATGGTATATCAATACTCTTTGCCAGCCCCACAAGCATCAATTAATTCTTCTATCACCCCGAGTCATTGCCCAGCTTACTAATCCTAACTGCGAAGACCATGGCCTGGATCAGACACATCTTAGTCCCCAGACTGACATCATTACTCTCTAGTACTCTGGTGAGGTCCCTGACAGCAGATTTTCTGTTGTTAATAAATTAACTGATGTAAATTTACTGGAAAACTAAAGATCAGAAAAGCTAGTAGATTTACCCAGATTCATCTGAAGTGGCAAATAGTAGAGACAGGGTTAGATACTAAAGTCTAAGTTCTCATGTCTAAATTATAGTGACTTAGTGATAAAGAGCTGTTATTTACAGCCTTTGAAAATCTGCTAGATCGTCAGCTGTAAGTCGGCTTTGATTTGATGGTACACAACAAGGTATAGTATCTCTCTAGCTAAAAGTCAGAAAGAACTGACAGAATAAGATAGTCCTAAACAGAATCTCTGTTCGTAGTACATACAGCAGTTAACTTGGTGTGACTCCCAATACAAGTTTGTTTGATAATCAAAATTGTATGTTTGCTTGACATATAGTGAGAGTGCATATACATTAGTTGTTGGGGTTAAATTCAAGCCAAGGCTTTGGTAAGGCAGAAAACATGACATTCATGTGTCATAGATAAAGAAACAAGCATCAATGCTATTTAGAACATCAAAGCCATGTTCCTTTATATCACAGAATCTTTGTATTCCATCTATATAAGAACACCAGTTCCCACTTACAGTACAAAGGACCTTCTGTGCTTGAAGTTTAAGCCCATTAAGAGTAAATAGTCTACAGTATAAATAATATAAAGAACTAAATTTTATTATAACTAAGAAAAGAAATCTTCCCATGTACATTGTGAAACAAAACAATTTTATATTATGAAAAGCTAGAGAATATGTACCTGAATTCATGTAGGGCATCAACAATTCGATTATATGCCAAACTCCTCTGACTGGCATCAGCCGATCTCCGGCTCATTTTCATAGCCTTGAAAGTAATCATTGAACAGTTAATTCACATGCTGATTATGGACATAATATGCAAAAAAAAGGTGGAAAATTAAGTGATATATTTAAACAACACTCTACCAATAGTCTTATTTAGAAAGAAAGAAAGAAGGCACACATATTTACAGTCATTTTCTTGGCTGTACTTTTGGTCATTATAGAAAATGTCATTTTCAAATGTTGAATCTTTTACTGTAACTGTCAAACCACAGAATGTCAACATACAACTGATGCTGACAGTTTCTGGGTTTCATAAAACTACTTCCCCCCAAATTAAATAATAACAACCCCACATAATAACTTATGATTTCTTCTATTTTACAGATGAAGCTGCTGTTAATTTTTTAAATACTGAAGATTGTACTAAACATATTTCAAGTTATTAGTAATGTGCTCTTTAACTTTTCTCATAAAGATATTTAGTTTAACTGAGCAACCTTGTGGTAATAGACAAAAAGGGGATCAGAATTAGAAGACAAATTTGAAAAAAAAACTTAAACTTTCAGACTTTTTCCAAAAGAATATAATTTTGGACAGCTAATCTAAAAAATTTTAGAACTTATATGTGAGGCAGAATTTCCACTCCAAAGCTTACAAGAGGGGAAAGCAAAACTTATGTTTTCAAACTACAATGACAAGCTCCAATTAAGGAAGAAGTGGTATTTTTAGCTAAAACCAAAACATATTTTTCCTTGTATTTATCAGCAACATTACGTACTGTCAAATCAGAATCAACTCATAGCTGACCCTCCACCAGGTTTTCAGAGCAATTAATCACACAAAAAGAGACTTTTCATCTTTTCCTACAGAGCAGCTTGTGGATTCAACCAGCATGTCTGAGCTGTCAGCATAACTTCTGGGGCTAAGCTACCAGAGCGTCCTTATTAGCAGGATCTTTTTTTCCACCCCCATTACAGTCTCAAGAGGTGGTAAAAACGTCAAAGTAATTGCCAAAGTATTCACAAACCCATTCTACTTTTAAGTGAACAATTTTGATCATTTCCTTTGCATTGTCCAATATTCACCATACCATTAAATGATTAATTTTCAAGTTCTATTTATTTAGGCAGAAGTTCTTACTCAGCTTCATTTTCCATTTTAGTAAGGAAAATACTAAATTCAAACCAATAGTCACACAACTAGAATTATGCCAATGTACACTCTGGATAGAGTACATAAAACATACAATACTTAAAAAGATATCTTTAATATGCTCTGTGTTGTTATCATTAGGCAGCATCAAGTCAGCATTAACTCATAGTGACTCTATGTCCAACTGCATGAAACTGCCCAATCCTGTATCATCCCTACAATCTTAAGTGCTTTAGCCCAATGTGTCAATGTATCTGTAGAGAGTCTTCCTCTTTCTTTAACTTACCTTCTACAAACATGATGCCTTTCTTCAGAGACTAACCTCCCCTGATAATATGCCCAAACGATGTGATCTATGAGAGAAAGTTTCACCATCCTTGCTTTTGAGGGGCGCTCTGGCTGTACTTCTTTCAAAACAAATTTCAGAATTCTTTTTGATAGTTCATGATACAGTCAACATTCTTTGCCAACACCACAATAAAAAAGTATTAATTCTTCTCATAATTTCTACAGTGCTAGAATAGTTCAAGTTTTAATCAAAGCAAAAATCACTGCTCCAAGCAACTCAAAGCATCAGTTCTGCCAGAGTGAAAATATTGTTTATGATGACTCTGACAAAAATAAACTAACAAATAGGCCAGCAGCCTACTGAAGAAAATGTTGTCAGTGTCTAAGTTTTAAAAAACTGTTTTACTATAAATAAAAATGGTCTTTACTCATTTGCTTACCTAAAAAGTATTGCTAAAGATATATTTATCATTTGACAGACTCAATATGAATAAATAACAGCTGTGTTCTCTCCAAGGAAAGATGATCTTACATCACTACTGAGTAATGAAACTCAACCTCTGCTTTCTAGACAATTCTAATTGGCCTTCCTAACCCCAGACTTGTAATATAATGTCACATAAACGCTCTGAAAGCATAATGTGAAGACAGTCTTGAAAAGGGCCTCAGAACTCTCTGGCAAAAGTTCTTGATTCTTCATCATCGGGTGGTATTCATTAACATTTCCAGTCTGGAGCTCACTATCCCTCTTCATCCACCTCTTCCTTTCTGATTCTATCACAAGGAACACGTTATTTACCCACTGGTTTACTAGTTCAACTTATAGGAATTTTGTCTAACAAATAATCTGTGAAATGCATCAAAATGTTAACAATATTAGAGCAACAACAGTGAGAAAGTTGAAAAGACTTAGTAAAAAGTTGTTATTTAAACTGCAGGCAGTAAATAAAACATATTGTTTAAATTATTTACAGTAACAAAAATGCTTAGGTAATGATTTTTCAAATGGATGCATAATTCAGAGTATGACATAGTATAATCGCAACTAATAAAAGTAAAATATACATAGAATATATCTGTACAAGATTTTCAGTAAAATATTTATTAGTTTTGTTTGCTTGGCAAGAATATCAATTTTCTCACCATTCCACTAAATCCAATTTTCAAAGTTTTGTGTTTTACAAAAATCTCATGTAGATGGATCTTCGCTGAAAGCAGGGAATACCAGAGGAATGTCTACCTGTGTTTCATTGACTATGCAAAGGCATTTGACTCTGTAGATAATAACAAACTATGGCTGACTCTGAGAAGAATGGGAATCCCAGAACACTTGATCGTTCTAATGAGAA